CAATTTTCTTGAATCCAAAATTAGAATTAAAGTTTTAAGGACTAAAATGACTTGTTTTAAAACCTTTCATATTGAAGTTATTTTTGGAACTTTAAAATTTTAAAATAGTAAAAAGGTATTTTGAAAAAGATATTGTTAAATTTGGGGAATTTTCAATAATTTCTCCGTGAAGTAAGAGACCAGGAGTTGACATACTTGACAACGGTGCACCAAGGTGAGGGAGCAAAATTAGAACTTTGCGCTAACGTACAGATTTTTTTTTAGCAAAATTAATATGGGGAAGACAACTATCTCCCTATGATTGACTATTGCCAAAAATTGTTTTGGCAACAGCCAATCCTTAATTCTATTTTAAAAAAATTGTACCTATAGAAAAATTTGCAAAATTATACGTGATGGCATGGTAGGCCCATTCAGTTGAGTCAAATTGGAATTTCTGTAGAAAATAATAAAAGAAGTACCATTTGTGAAAAAATAAATAAATAATGGCTTTTTTGAATGCATTTGTCCCTATTGTTTGTTCCTCGCTGCGGCTTGAGGACCTATTATACAATTTATGGCAGTGACATCCCTATTAACCTTTCGTGAACAGGGACGCCACTGTCAAAATGGTAAGATAGGTCTTCAACCCACAATAAGGGCAAACAAAAAGGACAAATCGTGCAAAAAAAAAAAAATCCATAAAATAACAAAAGAAAAAGGGGAAAATAATCCCTAGTTTAACTCCAAAAAGAAAAAAGTTGGAGAAAAAGAAATCACATGACAGTAGTGTGTACAATGCGTGGCATCACATGCTAATAAGGCCCACGTGCTTATGATATACTTTTTTTTTCTTCTAAGTATATAATTAAAAATAAAGTTATTTTGAGTGAAAACTATTTGATACACATGTATGTCACATACAACGACAACTTTCGCTATAAATAATATTACTTTATAATTATAGGAAAACAAATAATCACTGTAGAGTAATCCTCTTACATTGCAAAAATTTTATAGCCTTCCTTGGTATATTTGTTTTTGACACCAGTTGGTTGTTTAATGGGAATGGGAATGGGAATGGGAATGGCAATGGGATGCTGCTGCATCAAGATTTTCAAGAGGCAAGCAAGGGCGTAGTGGGAGAAAAGAGGGTGGGGATTTTGTTGATCCCAAAAGATGTTGCCAATAGATGTCAGGTCTACTCGCGTACACGCAAGTTAAATCCAACACGTTAGTGTCGATCGACGGTCAGAATATCTTCAGAATCTGAACGTGGGAGGAACTCAACGACACGAGACGTCTCCGTTCGGGCCTCCGGCGATATAACTAGAACATGATTGTATAAGAAAACCAATCGATAAAGAACAAGATTTGTAGTTGAAATATGCGAATAAAAGAGAGAATAATATAGCTCCTAATAGTTAGAATTTCATTCCAAATTTTTATTAGTCTTCTTGTATTACATGTTGGGAGTATTTATAGTGTTACAAATCAAATGGTGGCCTTTGGATCAAGTTACACATGATCTCATCTTCTCGGCCAAGACATCA